TTTGTTTTGTTTTGTTTGAAGCGGGGTACCAGGGATTGAATTCAGGGGCACTCAAACACTGAGCCACATCCCCAACTCTATTTTGTATTTTACTTAGAGACAGGATCTCACTGAGTTGCTTAGCATCTCGCCATTGCTGAGGCCTGTTTTGAACTCTAGATCCTCCTGCCTCAGTCTCCCAAGCCACTGGGATTACAGGCGTGCACCTCTAATTTGGTTTTATTTTGTTAGGGTGGGAGTTGTACCAGAGATTGAACCCAGGGCACTTAATCACTGAACCACATTCCAACCCTTTTATATATATATTTTTAATATTTTTAGTTGTAGATGGACCCAATACCTTTATTTAATTAATTTATTTTTATGTGATACTAAGGACTAAAACCAGTGCCTCACACCTGCCAGGCAAGTTCTCTATCGCTGAGCTATAACCCTAGCCCTATATTTTTATTTTGAGACAAGGTTCAATCCCCAGTATAATAAAAAAAGAAATTGTAAATTTTCAAATGTGTTGAAAACTGTACACATGAAAACTGCCAGGAAGAATGGGAAGTTGTCAACAGTAAAACATGACCTCTAGTGAGGAACCCTCTCCCAGGCAGCAGGGGCTGTGCCACCTTCACTTCCCCCTCCTCATTGTCCCTTGGTCTGTTTGGACGAGCTCCCTCTCTGGACTTTCTCCAAGCCTCCTGCTCAAACTCTGAATCCTCTCCCTCTCAGAAGATTCAACAATCCCCAAAGTTGTTGTTGCATGTCCTCTTACCCCAGGCATTGTGTGGGCCCTGGAACTCTGTCCCCATGGAGTCTACCACCCAGTGGAAAGGCCAGCCAACACAGGTCCAGGGGAAAGAGAAGGCATGGGTGGGACACCTACCTCTTCTGCCCACTTCTGCCCTGCCCAGCACCAGTCCTTCCCTCCCAGCTTCAACAATGTAGGGTCTCCTCCCAGTCCAGGCTGGCCAATCTTCTCCCTGAGCTTTGAGTCCCAACCCCTCTTGTCTCCACAGAACCCAGCTTCATCACCAGAATTCACACATGACATTTTCCTCTGTCCCTGGATCCTGCCTTTTTGTGTAGAACCCCTGAAATCTCTCTTGCTTTAAAACATCTTCTCAATCGCTTGGCATCTGTGTTCAAAATTTGCTAGAGGAGGATGGGGATTGTAGCTCAGTAGTAGAGTACTTGCCTAGCATGTGTGAGGCACTGGGTTCGATTCTAAGCACTGCATACAAATAAGTAAAATAAAGGTCCATTGACAACTAAAAATATATTTAAAAAATTTTTTTTTTGCTAGCGGAGGATCCAGGCAGGAGGCCTGCAGGTAGCAGGAATCTCCCAGGATCTCTTCATGCTGGTTTCTCAATCCACCCCAACTCACCCCACCCCCACCCACACGGTTCTGCTGGGCTCTGCATTACTTGTACACACACACACACACACACACACACGCATGCGCACAGCACCCATCTGCTTGGGTGAGAGGGGAGGGAGGGAGCCATCTCCAGGGATCCCCACACCTCTGGGCACATACCCTTGCCTATGGCCTTCTGCAAACAGAGGTACCAGCAGCTCACACCTAGAGGGACTAACTCAGTCCCTGGAGCAAATGTGACAGAGACCTCATGGAGACAGAGAACAATTGGCAGCTGAAATGGGATGCAGGTGAAGCCCCAGAAACTGAACACTTGCCTTTCCAAAATGGATTTTCTCTCCTGGGATTCTGCCCTTGAGTGCCTGGCCCCTCACCGCCACTGAGCTCATGGTCATTTTCTTCAGAGTCCAGCTGCTGGATGTCTTGAAATTCCTTCTCCATGATGTGCCCAGGGCTGGTGCTGGAGCTGGACCTGGAGTTGAGGCTGCTATTATGGGTTAGAGCTGGGGCCAGGATGGGGCTAAGATACCAATTTGTGTAGAGGCTGATGGTGGTAATTGAAATAGGGCCTGAATAGGTCAAGCTGATAGCTTGGGTTGGGTCAGAGGTTAGAGACGAGTCAGGGGCAAAGGTTTGAAATACTGCAGGATCCTGTCCCCATTCTCAGGGGCCCGCTTGGCCCTTGACATGGCCATGAACCTTTCCTCCATATTCTCAAGGACCAAGTCACCCTACATCTTCCCATCAGCTCCCATTGTTCCTGAACCAGGGTCTCCTTAATCCCAAACAGCCCAGCCCCACCTGCCTCCCCCACCTTGGTTACCTGTTGAAAGAATGGAGAACTAACTGGCTCCTGCAGGCAGCCCAGGCCCCAGGGAGAAAGAGGGGTTAAAGCAAGGAGAACTAGAGCAAGCGGTTCTAGATGAAAGGGGAGGAGGGGCCTGGCCCAGGCAAGGGCCTTGAGCCCTGTGTGTGTCTGAGTGTCCAAAAGATTCTAACCTGGCATCTCCTCCCCTGGGACTTTGGACAGTAAATAGAAGAGGAAACAGTTGGAACTCAGACAAAGAGTGGTGGGGGGCAGAGGGACACAACCATCTCTGTTCTCCTACCCAGAGAAGAGGGTCTCCTGGTCCAACCTCCCACCTTCACATTCCAGTCACCCCATTGCACCATTTGGGAGGGGGAACCAGACCTGTAGAAACAGGGGCACAATGGCAGTTCCCCCTTTGTCCCTCCTCTTTTCACTTCCTACTTCTGAATTTCCCAGAACTGTTGGTGTCTCCAAATATCCCTGACCAGGTCAAGTACCCTTCCCTGCTCTTGCCCAATCCAGCCAGTGACCCTGGCATTCAAGCCCCAGGCCCCAGGCTCACCAGCCCTGTCCTGACCCACTCACTCTCCAGGATTAGTGAAGTTAAAGATGTGGAAACCACAGAAGTCAGAGGAAGGAGCATGACAGAGAGCACTCTCTTTGGGGCAGGAGGAATTCAACCTCAGTAAGTGCCTCCGGTGGCCCAGCACTGTATCAAACCCAGGAACACAAACATTTGTCTCCACGCACAACCACTGCTCTAAGTTATCTATAAGTGTTAACTCATTCACCCTGCACAACGCCCCCGTGAGACGGACACATTTGTTATTAGTCCCAATTCACAGGGCAGGTTAATGGAGCCTCAGGGAGGTTAAGTGCCTTGCTTCAGGTGGGAGGTTTTTTAGTTTAGATCTGGAACATTTCCAGTGGCTTATGTGCTAGGCTTAATGACTATATTGGAAGATGGAGCCTTTGGAGAGATAATTTCAGTTAAATAAGGTCATTATGATGGGACGCTGGTCCAATAGAAGTGGTGTCCTTATAAGAAGAAGAAGAAACACCACAAAAACACAGAGGGAAAAAAAGCCATGTGAGGACACTAACAGAAGGGGACTGTCTCCAAGTCAGGAAGAGAGCCCTCACCAGACAGCCAGCTGCCAACAA